ACTTAATATGGAACTAGGCAACAATAATACTTTTTCCTTGTTACACGAAGACAGGAGTGCCATCCTTGAACCAATATATATAATCAATTTAAGCAATTCTATCAACCTTTATATAAATCAATCAATATGACTAATACACTTCATTTAAGGCCTAGCTTTTAATACCCTAACTTCAGTACGAGTGTTGTTTAGGGACTTCACAACACAAGAAACTGAATAGGCTATAAAAATATGAATTCAAGTAAGGCCTCTGGGATGGATGGCTTTCCAGATTTCTACAAAACATTTTGTAATCAGCCATCTTCTGTTTTTCCAAAGATCTTCAATTAAACATTCCAAAAAGGAGCCATGTCTCCAGACATGAGAACTGTTTTAACTACTTTAAAATTAAAGAACAAAAATGGTTGTAACTGTTGAATACAGATTGCAAAATAATTGCAAACATTTTAGTGGCACAACTGAATGCCATCATCCCATCAATTTATACATGCAGATCAGGCTGGTTTTGTTAAAGGAAGATTGGCCTCTGATAACACGAGAAAAATCATTCACTTGATCCAGCAAGTTCAGATGTTCCCTCGATAGCCTTATCTCTAAATGCAGAAAAGGCCTTTGATAGGATTGAATGGCCTGATCTAATGGCTGTCCTTAAAAAATGGATTTGGACCAATATTCCTGAATTGGGTCAGTGTATTCTACATCTCTCCCCTTGCTTCATTATCAATTAATGGAAATATTTCTACCAATTTCAATGAGGAAGAGGGACATGACAGGACTGTACCCTCTCGCCCCTCTTTTTTAATCTCTCTCTTGAACCACAGGCAATGTAAATATGTCAGCACTCAGCCACTGATGTTATGACTATAAACAGGAAAGAACACAAAATCAGTTTGTATGCTGACATTTTTATACTATTGAAGAATCCATCCTCATCAATCCCATTATTATTGAATGTGGTTGATATTTTTTGGAAAGATTTGTGGTTTTCGCATTAACTGGAATAAATCACAAGAAATGAATATATCCAAAAGACCAAATCCTTCTCAGTTTCAGCATTTTCCATTTCAATTATGCAAGGAAATAACTTAGTTAGGTGTTAACATTTGTCCTAATCTTCCCAAAATTGTTTCTATAAATACGGACAATATAGTACAAGAAATTTCCAAGGATGTAGAGAGATGGTGTCTCTTCCCTCTGTCCTTACTGGGGAGAACAGAAATAGCCAAAATGTATATCGGCCCAAGATTGACTTATATCATTAAGCTATTGCCTTTCAAAGTATCTTCCCTCATTCTTTCCTCGACTAAATAGGCGTATCATGACATTTATATAAGATTAAAAAAACAGCCTTGCTTGTCACACAAGGCCGTTAAAAAATCTTGGACAACTGGACGTTACATGGGGTTGCCAGATTTGTATCAATGTTATCTAGCATTCCAAACGTGTCCTGTTGTAAGGGGGTTCCTTCCAGTGGCTCTATATACACAGCGGCGTGGTTTGAGATTGAAAAATTAGCTATGCCATTTGGTTCCCTCTCTTCTTGTATATACCTTAAGATGCTACCCAGTCTTTGCATCTACATGGGGCATTCTGCAATGCGTTCAGATTATTACAGCATCAAGTCTTACAAATTCTCTTCTCATACCACTATGGGATAATCTGTGCCTCAGGATCAAGGCTAACTCCACGCTTAAGACAATTTGGATAAAAAAAAGGATTAACAAAAATTAAAGATATAATACAGGACTATAGACTGGTCTCCTTCAATTAAATGTGAAACAAATACCAGTTATTGCTGTGTCTCAGTTCCTTCTTTCAGCGGCTATGCTTAAGGATTCATGCAAGGATGGGGACAATTGGTCTGTTTCAACTCTCTCAGCTCTAGAAGAACATGTTAAGAAATATGGAAACAAAAGTCACTTTGTAGGAATTACTTACAGGTGGCTCAATGCTTTGCATTACCCCCTCAAGCTCAGTCTCAGAGAAAAAAAGGGGGAAAAGAACTTAGCCTTACTAACACAACAGAAACATGGGAGGATATCTGGCTTAATATGAAAGATACTTCAAGTTCTGTATTCTTGCCATTCTTCCAGAATAAGATATTAAATGAGTAGAATGTTTTTGGTTTTTTTAAGGCTAGATTGGCAACATACAGCAATTGTTGGCAAAGCAAACAGCCACATGCTAACCTTTCACACATCCTCTATGCCTGTCAAAAAGGCATATGTTCTGAAACACTATTTACAGCTCTTTCTCAAAAATTTTAAGCGTTGCTCTTTCCTTCTCCTAGCTTGTGTATTTTACGGGTGCTGAATAGAGTTGGAATTACCAGTTAGTGTTAAGAAATGGATTGCAGTAACTATTTTAGTGGTCAAAAGAGTTATTTTGAGAAAATGGAACTCTGCAGTTCCTCCCTCATACACAGATTGGCTTAGTGAGCTCTCTACTATTGCATTAATGGGGGGGGGGAAATGTCTCTGTCTAATAGAAACACTTGGGGAAAAAAAATATGAGGATCTGGTCACACATGAAACGATTGCATACTTTTGCAGTTTAGTATATATTAGTCTATGTTCTCATTTAGTCACTTTAATAATTGATGCCCTGAATGACCTTTGCGGCTTTGGTTTTGTTTTTTTTCCAGGTTGTGCAAATAATGCACACTGAATTTTGTTATTTATCTGTTATCTCCATGTTGTGCATGAATTTCTATGTTTTGTTTCATTATGTGCTTATATTTTATATAAAAACAAGAAAAAATAAAGTTTTAAAAAATGTGCAGGGCTCCAAACAGCCAGAGCATTTATTCTTTTTTTATTTCTTTCCCTATCTAGTCCAGCTGTTATGAAGTAATGTGGCTGGCTCATGAGTTGTAAGTCTGCCTGGAGCCTCCAGAAGCCCTCAGACCTGAAGTAGTGTTTGTGCTTAAAGCCAGCTCTGAGTTAACATAAAATGGGTCTTAGTAAAAGGTGTCCGTGCCGGCATACCACTGTGGATTATCTTACATCTTGTTCATGGATCAGTTGGTTTAAGATGGCTTTGGCTCTTGCCATCTACGTGGGTTTTTGTAATATATATATATATAATTTATATTGAATTCCATTATCCTGAGATGCTCTTTCCATTTGGTATGTTTCCAAAAACCCCACTCAAAATGAATAAGTCTCAGTATATTAAATGTGGAAGTGCATCAGTGGTAGGGACAGAGACTTTAAAAATGACTGACTATCTTTATTTAGATGAACCTTTATGTTTTATTTAGAGACAGCATAGCTCAGTATTCCGAGCACTGTGCTGAGTCAAGGGACCTGAGTTTGGTCTATTTTAGGAACTTACGTGGTGCTCTTTACTGTAGTGTTTGAGCAACCCATGATCACAAATGAATTTGTCCTCATAATAACCGTGTGAGGTGAGGTACAGAGAGCAGGGGTGGGCAAGCCACATCTGGGCTGGCCCTCAAGCTCCTGCTAGGGAGCAGGGTCTGGCGGCACTCTGTGCATGCCGTGGCTCCCAGGAGAACCAGCATGTCCCTCCGCTGGCTCCTATGCATAGGGACAGCCAGGGGGCTCTGCACTCTGCCCCCTCCCCAAGTGCCACCCCCCGCAGCTCCCATTGGCCGGGAACTGTGGCCAACGGGAGCTGCAGGGGCAGCGTCTGCGGATGGGGCAGTGCGCAGAGCTGCCTGGCCCTGCCTCCCAGCCCTGATTTCCCCTCCTGCCATCCGAACCCCTTGGTCCCAGCCTGGAGTACCCTCCTATACCCCAAACCCCTCATCCCCAGAGCCCGCACCTCTAGCCGGAGCCTCCACCCCACCCCAACCCCCTGTCCCATCCCGGAGCCCCCTCCCACATCCTGAATTCCTCATTTCTGGCCCCACGCTGGAGCCCGCACCCCCAGCCAGAGCCCTCACCCACTCCTGCACCTCAACCCCAATTTTGTGAGCATTCATGCCTCACCCTACAATTTCCATACCCAGATGCATCCCTCGGGCCAAAAAGTTTGCTCAACCCTGGAGTAGAGTAAGGGATTTGGTAGATTTTACACAAGAAGTCTGTGGCTGAGCTGAAAACTGAACTCGGGTCTCCTCAGTCCCATTTAAATGCCCTATCTGCATCCTTCTTACCTATTCTGCTCTATTCTTGGCATCTACCACTGACTTTCTGGTGACTATGGGAATGTCACTTTACCTCTCTATGCTTCAGTATCACCAGTTGTCAACTGGGAATAATGATACCTTCATTTGTAAGGCATCATGACAGCAACAGCTGCAAAGATCTATGTTATTTTATTATTTCAGACTTGACCTTTCTCACTAAAAATTATGCCAGGCAGATATTCTAATGCTGACGAGACAGCTCTAGGCCTGGCCTAATACCAATACACTAAAATGTAGGTCTGTCAGACTAGGGAGAATTCTTAAAAGCTTTTTGGCTTTTTCTTGTTGGGTGGAACACCTTGTGCACATCTTGAAGATAGGATCATTCCTCTACAAAGAGCAGGATCTGTCTGATATCTTCCTCTGAGGGATCCATCAAGAAGACCTCTCAACTGCTGGATGCTCACTGGGAACAGGAAGGATTTTTTCCCCCCATGCACAATTGGTTAGATGTATTTTGGGCAGGCTAGTAGGAGGGGATGCCTTCATCTAGCTATAGCTGGAGATGGGACACTGAACAGGCTGGACCACTGATCTGATGTGGTACGAAGAATCCTCTAGAAATAATGCCTGGCTGGGGTGTCTTGTTCACATGCTTATGGTCATACTGATAGCCAGATTTCAGGTCAGGAAGGAATTTTCCCCAGGTCAGACTGGCAAGGAGCTGGGGCAGGGGTTGGCTTCCTCTGCAGCACAGGGTTTGGTTCACCTGCTAGGATCATCTGGGTATATCTCACCTAATCAGTTCCCAGCCATTGGAGTTACCTCATGCGTTAGTGGCACCTCAGGCTCCTGTTATCTGCCTGTAGCACGCAGTTCAGTCTCCCAAGAACTGAAATGATTTGGTCTAACTGAAGATGTTGGGCTTAAAGGGATATTTGGATGAAGTGTAATGGTTTGTGATATACAGGAAGTCAGACTAAATGATCTAATGTTCCCTTATGCCTTTAGACTAGAGCCATGCACAGCTTTATATCTGCGATGCGGATATCCATGAATATAAATTTGTATCAGCGGACCTGCAAGGCTCTACTGGAAACCGCAGCAACAGCATGTCAGGCCGCCACTCCCAGGAGCCAGCACCCCGCACCTGCAGCTCCTCTGGCGTGGCTGTACCACCCCGAGGCCTGTGGCTCACTGGCAGCTATCCCTGATCGTGCTAGCGTGCACAAGTGGCTCACAAGCTCCTGCAGAGGAGTCCATTCCATACTGCATATGTCTGCATGTCCTAGGAGGAGGTCCAGCACCCCGTTCTTGGAGCTAGGTGAATCAATGCTATTGTGGAACTGTAAAACAAAAGTGCGAAGGTGCATCAAAATCTTATGGAGGAGGAAGATGGAGGGGATTCAGTATTGCCAATCTTCAACGATCAAAAACCAGGAGTCAGAATCCCCAAAATAATGAGATCGGCCCCAAAATCTTGAGATTTTTTTTAAGTCAAATCAGGTGTATAGCTTGTCTTGACTTTTTAACTCCCCTCTACTCCTTTGCTAGAGTGTGTATGATAATTTCAGGTTGAAAAGACAATCTTTAATACGCACACACACACGCCTCTCCCTGGCTGCTCAGAAGGAGACTCCACTTTCCCACTTCTCACCCCTCAGACAAATTCTTCAGTGCTCCGAGTTCTTATTGCCTTGATATGGATACTACAAGATAACTAAGAATGTCTGCTAGGAGACTCATCAGTTAAGCTTTCAGACTGGCCCTTGGAATGAATGATGTCCTTATGACTCAGTTATAAAGCTGGCCAAAAAAACTTTCGCCAGAACAGTTTTCCATCAGCAAATGCTGGTTTGTCAAAATTGAAACATTGTGTGGACACATTAATTTCAATGAAATTTTCAGTGGAAAAACTTAAACAATTTCAAATCAAAATGGAGTATTGTGTTCTAACTTGCCTGTTTTGGTTCATCTTAATTTTAACCTTTTAATTTATATAGAAATGGGACAGAAGTTGCATTTTCTGACCAGCTCTGCTCAATTGGTAGTAGTTTTGCATCTGGACACAAAAATCTAGGCACAAGAGAGCCTAAAAGCTGGCTTAACTGGCCCTTGGAGGATGTTGGCGTAAGAGTATCCACACCACCCTCAATTCCCAGCTTCTGGAGTGGGGGTGGTGTCTGGGGAAACAGGGCAAGTTCAGGGCATCTCTAGGCCTGGGCAGTCCATGGCTGTTGGTGTAGCCCCTTGGGGGTCATAGGCAATGGGCAATACCCTGATGCTGCTCTACTTTATGCCAGGAAGCTGCCACTAAAGAAGGGAGATCACAACGGTGGCTTAAAGCCTCCCCTTCACCCACTTCCCTCGTCTTGAACCAAGGACAGATCTATGTGAATGAACGTGTCTCTACACTTAGTACTTAAGAACAATAATAAATCTATTTTCTGTGAAATATGAACAGCTATTTATAATCACTTAATCGCTATCCTCATTGTAGACTGTTTTTGTGTCATCCTGATTTTAAAGAAAGCATTAACATAACAGACTTCAAAACCACACTCAGAAACACAAACAAAGGGCAAAGCACATCTCTTGGCAACTCTCTGTATATAAGCAGGAATGCAGAATATCTAAAATTACTACTTGTTCGGTAGCTCTGAGGAAAGAATTTTTCCCTAGATGTCTAAACTTTACTCAAACGTTCCTCTCATTTATAAAGTTTGTGCTTTGATTTTATGGAAGTGTGCTGACCATACATCTTACAAGGTGAGATAATTTAACCATGTGGATCTGGGTACTAGTTACCAGTTTGCAGGGAAGATTAGACATTTTTCAAGTTCTGTTTTGATTTTCTGCAGGGTTGTTTTGTCTGATTTTAAGAAATGGACTAAACGTAAAATGCAAAGGAGTTTGGAATGAGCAGCTCTTTTGTTTTAAATCTCATCCTTATTCCGGAAACATATGAGTCTGCTCTCCCAGTGTGCAGAACTGGGGCCAAAGCCTTCCTTCTGACTTCCAGGTGAGCCTTTGCATTCAAGAGCAGACAGTAGCTTTAACTCCATTTATAGGATGGAATAAGAAGAATATTCATAAATCAGGATTTAAGAATTTTGAGTGCTCAACTGATACTTTATTTTTTCCAAGTGGAAATTCTCTTCCTCCAAAACCGGTTATTATTAGTATTGACTCCAGGAGGATTAGAGATTTATGATAACATAGGTACTTTATTTCTATTTGATGAACTTTATTTTGTGTAACAATTACAACACACACAGCTGTGTCTGTCATAGTAACTCACAGCATCAAGGCTTTTTCCACCTCTCTATCTAGGGCTTTCAACATTCCACTCATCTTCCATCTCAACTATAATGCATTGTTCTTTGTTGTTACAGGTCAAGTTTCCCAAAGCCATTAAAAGCTGAAGATGGATATTAAGCATGCGAAGGATTATCTTTACTGGCTATACTATCAATACCTACTGATCACCTGTTGCTATGTGTTGGAGCCCTGGGAGCGATCCATGTTCCATACTATTTTTATTACTGTTTTTGCTATGGTGGTGTATACAGCTTATGTCTTTATCCCTATCCACATCCATTTGGCTTTTGAGTTCTTCTCCCAGTTATTTGGAGATCAGCGTGAAAGTACTGTTGCCATTATGAACTGAACTTGCCAGGGTTGATGATGCAACAGCTACTATGTGAAATGTCTTCTTCCATGTAGGGGTTTTTTGTTTAGAAAAAGGTTTGGGTTTGTGGAAACAATGCTTCCTCATACAAAAGCTAGCCTGCACAATTACCATAACTGAAAACCAGAATAAAACCTCACTGTACAGTTCGTATTTAAATAAAACACGAGCACAACTTTTATTCTGTGACTGTGCAACACCGACTTTGGAATGCATTACTGAATATTCAGCTTACCTACTGAGACTAGTGTTCATATGTAGTAGATCCATAATGTAGAGAAAACCTATGTTCTTTAACAGTTAGCCCTTATTTCTTTATTATACTGTCTAGAATAATGATTTTACACATATGGTTTTCACACTCAATCAGAATTTAATTTTACTAGCATATATAAAAATGTATTGCAAACAGCAAAAAGTATTTATGATGATAGTAGGTAGTATATTATACTTTTTGCATATAAAAAAGCTTCTCCTCCCAGCATGGTACACGTGAACTATCTTGCAAAACCTGAAATTCTTTTTTGCATCCTAGTTTACAGTATATCAGAAATGTGAGTCAAATATAGCATGACCCAAGCAGCTGAAGTCCGTCTGTCTTAGTAGTCTGCTAATTTTTAAAATGGATGGTGTCATGATATAAAGGGATGGTTTACAGCTTTTCTTTTAGAAAATGAGAAGTCAAGACTAGATGAGCATGAATCCAATTTTTAGTATCTAAGCTTCTGCTGCTGGATTTATGGTAGTTTAATTGCGATGTTTAGATAATGTATTATACTGTAAGTAATCTTGCATTGTACAAAGAATGATGTACCAGATATTTAGTGAGTCTGACTTTGTTACACTCTACTTTGCTTGTTACAAAAATCAAGTTTTCCCCTTTCCGCTACAATTCATTGGGGAAAGCAAAGCGTGCGTTCGTGCTAAAGGAAGATGATCTAGGAAACAGAGTGGAATTTCCTAATAATTGCGGAATTCTGAAGCATTTAGATGGAAGCTTTGATACAGAGGCCTCCTTTACAAAGGAGAAATGAGATTTTTTAAAACTGCCTTTGGGGAGCTTCTTAAACCATGAAAGCTTTTTATTGTACATCTGAATCAAACGTGAACGCCAAAGAGCAAGCTATGTATGCAGAATACATACCTCTTGCAACTGACACTACCACTAGGGAAAGTGAGAACCATAAGATGTAAATAGTTTTTGAAGTATGTTTGCACAATTACAGCATGAAGAAATTTTCTAATTTTATTAAGGGGCATTGGGGTCCTGCGTGATAGAAAGAATGACAAATTCTGATGTAAAAATGAGGCTATGTTTATATGCAGTTTTTCAAATGCAAAAATAAAGTTAAATTATTTTAAAACAGTGTTTTGAATGCATAATTCTCAGTTTTGCCTGTATCCATGAATTATATTCATCTAAATACTCTAACTCACTCTCCCCTTTAGTCTGTGTAGTCTGCTTGCCATTAGATAAACTTGACTAGCTTGTTGCCACGACCTTCTCTGTATGGTAGTATCAACACATGATTTAGGAAACAATTCAATGACATTTTTTGGTACATCACAACTAGAATATATTTAAATATATGGGAAATATAACTTAACCCACTTCAAGGCCACTTTATACCGGCAAAGGGGCAAATAAGGGCCATGGCATAAATGAGAATAACTGGGAGAAATAAGCAGGGGAAAAATTGCAACTGTTTTCCAGAACTGTGACTGTTTATGTGGAAGTTGCTCTCACCTTTGACATAGCTTTGAATGGCTAGCATTTAGGGCTCCCAGTGAAGTTGATAGCAAAACCCCAATTGATATTAATGTAAGATCAAGCTTTTACTCACTATGTACCCCATCCTGTAGATCCTTGGCACTGCATAGGGTCTACTTCCAGGTGACCATTCTTGTCATTACAGTAGATTACTTGACACTGTGGTGCTCCAAGAAAACTCTCAACTCAGCTCAGTGCACAGATTAGCAGGATTCATCAGTCTGGGGAAAAAGGAAACTAAGTTGTTTCAATACCAATATTCCACAGTTGTGCAGGCAGAACACTAATGCTGAAGGTAGTTCTTCTTTGCCTACTGTACAATTTTTTTTCTGAAGCCAGTCTATGAGCCTGACAATAGCCTTAAGCTTTTCTCTGTACTGGTCTTTTAGCCTCCAGTGGCTGAAAGGATCCTATCAGCTACACACAATAGAAATCTCTGCCCTGTATTCTTGTGATCTTCAGAACACACCAAGCATGGAAGATAGGTATCCATCATGTTAGAGTAATACCCATGGAACATGAAAAGACAAAACTGTTATTCATAAAGGCTGAATTATTGTGTTGTGCATGGTAGGAGTTTTCCTAAGGAAAAGGAAAGTTTTCTTGTACCACTTAATTATCTATGGAATCTGTGATATCTTGTATTTATAACCTTACTTCAATTACTGTTAATACAGTAATGACCATGGAAGGATAGAAAGACAAGGTTGGTGAAGTAATAGCTTTTACTAGACCAGCTTTTGTTGGTGAAAGTGACAAGCTTTCGAGCTACCTGAAGAAGAGCTCTGTGTAGCTTGAAAGCTTTTCTCTTTCACCAAGTTGGTCCAATAAAAGATATTACCTCACCCACCTTGTCTCTGATATCCTGGGCCCTACAACACTACAGCCAACATGGTACAGTCTAATAAGATCCTGAACAATTTTGTTTCTCCATAGCCATATAATTTACATGGAGGAAATGAGTGAAAAGTTCAAAACAGTCACAAGAAAACTTCTCTTAGCATTTACTTTAATTATGGGTATGTTTCACATGAAGACACCTTCTACAATTCCCAGTACAATGATACATCTCAGTACCCATTGCAGATTCTTTGATACTTAACTCCTGAAATATAAAAACGATGTACTTAGCAAACAGGACTATATCCAATAACTAGAGAAAAGAAAAACTGAGACACAAGAGACATAACAGGCAGGCAGGAGAAAAGGTTAGAGGGAATAACAGAAAGCAGCAGGAGCTGCAGGGAGAGAGAGGAGGAGGAGCTTCTTATGTACCTCTCTAGCACCCCCAGGAGCCTGGTCTGATTAACACCAGCTTCGCAGAGAGCTGCCTGTTTCCTGCTGCTTCCCTGAACCCACTTGAGGAGAACAGGCAGTCAACTGAAGTAGCAGGAGCCAGTTAGGCCCTTAAGATGCTGATATCTTCCCTCACTCAGGCACTGCTACCAGCCTGCTTATTTGTCCCCTTCAATTGAGTGTTGAGAGCCAATATAGCTGGCACAGAACAGCAGTGATGAGTGAAAGAAGAAAACGCACCTCTGGGGCAGCATTCAGAAAAAGAAAGAAAGCAAAGAAAACTTTTCTATCTAAGCAGGAAGGAGCTCTCCTGAAATACATAGACATAAATGTTCACGGTGAGCCTTCCGGCCTCAGTGAGGATGAGTGGTGAGGAGATGCCTGATCTTCCAGTTAGTCAGAGTGCAGGTGACCTGGCAGCTACTACAGCATCCATATCTCCATCTCAAATGGATGCAACCATGCACATTCCTGAAGAAAAGTGTAGATCAGAGAAGAGTGTGGTTCAGGTGCAAGGAACAGCTGCTGCTGAGTTTAGTTCCTTAAGTTTAGATGATCCAGGACTGTGGACCCACTTGAGCAGTAGCCTGAGGGACTTCCTTCTACTGCCTGGGCCACAGCAAGTGAAAAACTTCATGTTCCCTAAAGACAATGAAAATAGAAGTTTCCATCCAACACATTACTGGCGTGAAATCCACAATGGTGACAAAGTGGAGAGGCCAAGGCTTATGTACTCAAAAACCCAGAATGCTGCATACTGTTTTTGTTGCAAAATCTTCCAGTCTAATGTTCCAGCCACATTGGGTTCTACAGGAACAAAGGACTGGAAAAATCTGGCTAGGAATCTGGCATGCCATGAGAAGGCAGAAAATCACCAGAGAGCATTCCATAGGTGGAAACAGCTTGAGATGAGACTAAGGTTAAAGGCCACCATAGATGATCAGCATCAAGAGAAAATTGCATCAGAGTCTCTTTACTGGCAAAATGTTCTGAAAAGGCTCACTGCCATTGTGAGAGTGCTTGCTACCCAAAACATCTAGCACTATGTAGCACTTGGTTCAGCTGTATGTGCCAAACAATGGAAACTTCCTTAAAAGTGTGGAGCTGATGGCTGAGTTTGATGCTGAACTCCAGGAGCATCTAAGAAGAGTCACCACCCAAGAAATGTGCACACACCACTACCTTGGAAAAAACATTCAAAATGAGATCATACAGTTACTGGCAACAAAAGTCAAACAGAAGATTGTGGCAGATCTGAAGTCAGCAAGATATTTCTCTGTTATTCTGGACTGCACACCTGACATCAGCCATATGGAACAAATAACTTTAATGGTGCGTTTTGTAACAACAGAACCTAGTGAAAATGTCCCTGCAATGGTGACTGTCAGAGAGCATTTTCTAGAATTTATTGACATTGATGATACTACAGGAGCTGGTGTGACAAATGTGCTTCTTAAAAAGCTGGAAGATACGGGAATTGTGATAGCTGACATGAGAGGTCAGGGCTACGATAATGGTGCCAACATGAGAGGAAAGAACAGAAGAGTGCAGACACGGATCCGAGAGTTAAACCCTCAAGCTTTTTTTGTCTCATGTAGTTCTCATTCATTGAACTTGGTGGTCAGTGATGCAGCATTTTACATTTTAATGTAATTCAAAGCATCTATGTATTTTTTTCTGCATCAACTCAGCGATGGCAAATTTTGAAGCAACATCTAGGAATGTCCTCTCGGACACTGAAACCACTGAGTGCCACACTATGGGAAAGTCGAGTGGAGGCGATAAAGCCTATCAAACACCAAATTGGGAAGATAGATGATGCCATAGTTGCCATTATGGAGGATAATGCTATGACAAGAACTGTTTGTGGGAGAACAGTGGCAGAGCGAAATGGAATCACTAGAAACATACATAACTTCAAATTTCTGTGTGGCTTAGTGTTGTGGCATGACATACTGTTTGAAATAAATGTTGTAAGTAAGAGACTCCAAGGTGTTGACCTTGATATATCTGGAGCAACGGAACAACTGGACAAAGCAAAGTCATACCTACAGTCTTACCAGTCAGATGAGGGATTTCAAAACGTTCTGAAGAGTGCACAAAAGTTGGCAGAGGAACTTCACACTGAAGCTATTTTCCCACCCATTCAAGAATATAAGAGTCACCGAAAAAGAAGACATTTTGATTACAAGGCACAGGAAAAATCCCATAAGTGACCCCAAACAACAATTCAAAGTTGAATTCTTTAACCAGGTGCTAGATTGTGCAATACAGTCAGTTGAGGAACGTTTCATGCAGCTCAAGGAACACAGCAGTATATTTGGGATGTTGTATGATATTCCAAAACTCCTCACTATACCTGAAGAAGACCCACACCAGCAGTGCAGGGCACTAGAGACAGTGTTGACACATGATGACATGCAATATTGATGCGAGTGATTTAGGTGATGAACTGAAAGCCCTTTCAAGATACATTTCAGCAGGATCAACTCCAAAGGCTGTTCTGGAATATATGTGCACAAATAAGATGACCACCCTCTTTCCAAATGCTTTTGTTGCTCTGCGCATACTTCTAACACTTTCTGTAACAGTTGCCAGTGGAGAATGCAGCTTCTCCAAGCTGAAGTTAATAAAAACACATCTACGCTCCACAATGACACAGGAGAGGCTGGTCGGCCTTGCAACCATCTCAATAGAGCATGAGCTGGCCCAGACTGGATCTTCAGGAAGCAGTTAAAATCTGTGCAACCAAGGAGGCACAGAAAGCACCACTTTGATTATTCAAACAGATAAAAATGCCAGTGTTTACTGTGCAGACAAGAAAAGTTACATTTGCTGTTCAGGCATCTGAAAGTTAAGTGTTACTTAAAATTTTTGAACAAGGCATTTTAAGTTGTTAGTTCTCCTTTATTGGGGTAGGTAGCAGAGAAGTACCATGAGAGGAGTAGAACAGGAAGAAGGCAGAACTGTGATCTTTCAAAATTTTGGCCAAAGCGAGGGGGTATGGAGGTGCCATTTGAGCGCTCCACCTCAGGTGTCAAAATGTTGTGGGCCGGCTCTGGCTTTGAAGAACAGCCACAGGTGTCAGAGGACAAAGATGAGGGGTATAAACCTTCATGCTACAGGGCATAAACCACTCCCTAACTGCCTGAAGTTGAGAAGAAACTCCCCCCAACTTATTCCATGGTTGTTTGCTACAGGGAGTCATAGATTAAAAGCCCGAAAGAACCATTATAGTCATCAAGTCTGACCTTCTGCATAATACGGGCCCTAGAACCTAGCATAAATGTTCCACATACTTCAGAAGGTGTTATTGGCCACTGTCAGAGACAGGATACAGACTCAGGGCTTGAGCCAGAGCCCTTTGAAGTCGGGACAGTCTTTTTACTGATTTCAAAGGGATCTGGAGTAGGCCCGAGGCAGATGACTGCTCTGATCCAGGCAATTCCTATTTTGTTGTTTGCTTCTTGGCTGTAGGAACTTTGGATAGGTTTTAAAGTCTTTAAATCATGACTTGACGACTTCAGTAACTCAGCCACAGGTTAGGGGTCAATTACAGGAGTGGGTGGGGGAGGTTCTGTGGCCTGCACTATGCAGGAGGTCAGACTAGATTATCATGATGGGCCCTTCTGGCCTTAAAGTCTATGAGACTTATGCTTCCATTTCAGATTTGAATATTTAATTAAACATTTCAGTTTAATAATGTCTGGGTGCTTCCTGTTAACTGAAAAACAGCTATGCAGTGGCCTAATATCTGTCTATACAATAGAGTTACTTGATACAAACATCAGTAAATGTACATGACAACCCCCCCATACCATGATACTGTTATTCCCTCAAACATGAAGCAACCTAGGTTTGTAATTAAGTTACCAGAACAAGACTATGCATCAGAGAAGACTAATGAAATCAAACATCTGTACGCACTGCTGCTGTTCACAATATGAAGCTCTTCTAAAAGAAAGAAATACAGCCACACAACTAAATTAAAAGGAAGGACTTAGCTCCTATATAAACAGATTCTATGATTTAAAATAAAACCTTTTAAAACTAACACCAGTATGCACAATTCATATTGCCATCCCTCCAGCTGCCTCAGCGCTTGAGTACTGTGCTTCCATGAGCACTGCAGGGACTGTACTTGTCCAGTGCAGTATGACAGAGTGCTTCAAGTATGTAGTAACACTCCAAGGTTGTGTGTTTATTAGCCGATAGACACAGCTTAGACGTGTAGTTGCTCCTCATGCTTCAACAAGCGTGTATAGTGGCAGACAAGTACACGCCCTGTAATGCTGTTGTAATTACAATAGCTTTTTTTTTTTTTAAGGCACTTTGAAAACATTACTATAAATGGCTGAGGGGAAAATTCAGCATTTCCTTTTGAGCCCAACTGCGGGAGGAGCACTGGCACTGGAATTTCAATCTACCTCTCCTCTGCCTCTTCTAGCTGCCATGTTTAATTCAGCCAATGCATTAACTGAGTGGCTGGGCAGAGATAGGGAAGTGATGGCAGCTTCTACGTGGAAGATCCACCACCCTCTCCCCTCTTGTGGCCATACTCATGAGAAAGCTCTGTTTCACTCTCCAGCCTAGTCATTGCATTTTAAAGGAGCATTCAGGGATGGGTGAGGAAGGGGCAAAGTAATATTAAAGCACATTCCATATACCTCAGTTCTTTTTAAACCTTGATTTGTGACCCTTCAGCTCCTTTCACTCCCCGCTTTCTGTTCTCAAGGTTTAAAAGTGTATAGCAATTAATATTTCAAATGACCTGTTGAAAGTGTCTGTTGATTTACAGACCCCTGATGAAAAGACATTCAGACTCACTGGAGGAAAATAGGCAGAGGGAGAAGTGGTCAGATGAGTGCAGAAAAAACTGCTCATCCTAGCTGAGGCCGCTCTTATGTGGCAGTGAGAGGGTTCCTTCTTGTCACCCCATTGTTTAATGCATATATAGGGCCACAGGAAGATTAGTGAGGAGATTGGGCTGCAGTACTTTCAATAGGTTGATGGTACCCAGCTCCACATCTCCATTCTATCTAACTCAGCCCAAACAGTCAATGATCTTTCTCAGCATCTGGATGAACATGGAAGGATGGACAAAAGCTGGCTAATAAACAGAGGCTCAGTCCAGACAAGACTAATGCAACTGAAGGATATGGCAAGAATTATTTCTGCTCCTTTGATTGAGGGTGTGTGCGCACCATTTGTTGGCCAGGCTCACAATCAAAAGACCAGCTAGCAGCAAGAAACATCTTTTACATTTAGACAGGAAGTTGCAATTGTTTCTCCTTTTGGTAGACTATGCAACTATCATTCCTTCCTTTGTCACATAAAGATCAGATACTACAATATGTGCTATGGAGGTCTACATTTAAAACCATCTGGAAACTGAAGCTAGTGGTGGAATAAAATTGACCTGCTTGGTAAGCAGAAAATCTCACCACAAGCATATTAAACCAATACTCTCCCATTTGCACTGGCTGCTTGAGAATTTTGGGGTGAACTTAAGGTCTTGGTTTTGACCTCTAAAGCCCTAATTGGCTATGGGCCACCTCTCTATCATGCTATTCTGCTACAGTTGAAATTAGCATAGGTACTTAAGCTGGCATCTCATGGGTATAAATGAGAGGGGCTTCTGGTTGGGCATGCTCTGCAAGGACCCCACAGCTTTGGAATTCACTCCCCGCCTTGCTCCCAAATAACCTGAATCTCATGACATTCAGAGCACATTGCAAAGCTCATCTTTTTTCCTAGCATTTCAAAGTAGAGGAGTGGGAGAAGACTTTGCAACGGAGGGGTCAGGGGACTTGTAAGAGAGGGAAGAGGATTCAAGTACTTGGTGCATGGTGATATAGTTTATATTAAATGGTACTTCTGTACTTGGGTTGTGTTTTTAAGTTATGTCATACAATGTATGGCTAGACACAGTTGTCGTGTTTGTATAAATCTAAATAAGTGAACAAATAAAAACCCTCCAAACCTCAAAACTTAATGTTGTGAAGTGTCTCTGATTAAATGAAATCTTAATATAGGTGTCTTTTGCTCTAGCAAGAATAAGTCATGCTAGGGTGTGCACATCTCAAAGCTGCCAAGCTGTGTACAAGCCCCGCACACCTTTGTGTGGTATTGCCATAGCACCAACATGTCCTGACTGGTATTTTGTTGTATAAAACCTAGTGTTAATCTGTGTGTATAAAACACCTGGGCTGGGCACTCTCAGTCTCTTTTTATTATCTTTTAACTGACAATAAGCCTAGTTCAGGGTATTATATGAACAGCAGCACCTGAAGGTTTTCAGACTAACAAAAAAAGCAAATTACATATTTAAGGAAAGAAAAAAAAATCAATAATCCAACAGTGACAAAATGAAGCAGAAAGGAGGGTGAACCAATTCCATTCGCATTTACCATGAAATCGCAAGGGCATCATTGAATTAAGTGCTGAGAGATGTTTAGGCTCAGCTGGCCAGCCCCACACTTCCCTTCTTGTTTAAAATTCATTTTCTTAATTTAGATTAGTCAAAAGTTAGTATTTATTCTGCAGTAAAGACTTTTTGGCCAATTTCATGGATCATCTCACAAATCCATTACTGATGGCTATTACACTTACATCAGTCTAGACGACGAACTTCCAGAAGGCTCTTGCTGAAGCATTTCCAGGCTGTCTTTTTTGAAAGATTAAATAAAATGCCAGGGGGATGTTTTCCCTTAGCCATAATTAAATTTCCTGAATAAAAACTATCTGCATAGTTAACAATGACTGTACATCAATGAGGGTTATTTATTTTAAAATAAATTCTGGATTGTCCATGTCTGATTTTTCCACACTGATTAAAATATAAAGCCTGGTAAAGGCAGGAACAGCATATAACCCAAGGGAATAGTAAATTTGTTAATTCTAGGCTTCAAGTTGAAATCTATCTGAGGCAAGTAATGACTGAAACTTAACACTAGCTAATGGCTGTTCAGTAGCTTCTTTGAAAGAAGATGATCTCAGTCCTCAGAACTGACACTAACTGGCATCATTGTTGATAGTCTCAGAAAACTAGAGAGGAAGGATGGTCCAGTAGTTATAGTACTAGCCTAGGACTCAGGAGATTCAGGTTCAATTCACTGCAAAACTTTCTGTGTGACCCTGGAAAAATCACTTAGCCTCTCTTTACAGATGGGGAACCAAAGCACATCGGAGAGAATAATACTTTCCTATCCCACAGGGGTGTTATGAGGACTAATCCATCAAAGATTGTGAAGTGCTTTGCGATTTACTGGTAGAAAGTATTACATAAGAAAGAAATGGTTACTCACCCTGTGCAGTAACTGTGGTCACTAGGGATGCTTGTGCCCTCTGCATCTTTGATTGGAGATCACACCGCAGTATCCATTTGGCCCACACATGCAGGCTACGCAGCATCATATCTCGTGCCATTGTTATATAGAACTGCGAGGACAAACCACCTTCAGTTCCTTTTCTACCACGAAGCCCTATAGCAGAGAACTCTGAAGCAAAGGGAAAGGAGGGCAGCTAGTGGAGCACCTATAGGGGGACACATCTCGAAGAACCAGTTACTGCAGAGTAAACATTTCTTCTTCTTCTTCAAGTAGTGTCCCTATGAGTGCTCCACTCTAGATGACTACTGAGCAGTTCCCTCTCAGGAAGAGGGGGCTTTGGAGTCGAGTCCAGTACAGAAGACAGTACAGCCAAGCCAAACACAACGTCAAAAGCAGAGCTATGAGTTACTGCATAGTGTTCATCGAATTTATGTATAGAAGCCCACGTGCCAGCCTTACATATTTCAATAACAGGCACACTTTTGAGAGATGCTGTAGAGATGGAAATGGACCTCATAGAGTGAGGTCATATGTCCAAAGGTGCTTGAATATTACAAGATTCGTAGCAAGAATTAACGCAATCAGACATCCACTTAACTTGTGATGTCCACAAACAATTGAGACCCATCAAAAAGAAGGTCTTCCATCACAGTGGTTCTCAACCAGGGGTCCTGGACCCACTAGGGGGCCGGGAGCAGGTTTCAGGGGGTCCCTCAAGCAGGACCAGTGTTAGACTCGCTGGGGCCCAGGGCAGAAAGCAGAAGCCCCACTGCATGGGGTCTGAAGCCACGGGCCCTGAGCCCCACCACTCGGGGCTGAAGTTGACACCTGAGCAAAGTAGCTTCGTGAGGGGCCTTGTGGCATGGGGCCCCAGGCAGCGGTCCTGCTTGCTACCCCGTAACACTGGCCCTGGCTTTTATACGTAGAAACTAGTTGTTGTGGCACAGGTGGGCTGTGGAGTTTCTATAGCAAAGGTGGGCAAACTACGGCCTGCAAGCCACATCCGGCCCATCCTGCCCGGCCCTTGAGCCCCTGGCCCCTTCCCCGCAGCCTCAGCTCCTCTTGCTGCCAGCACTCTGGGCGGTGGGGCTGCAAGCTCCTGCGGGCGACGTGGCTGCGAGAGCTGCTGGGTGTAGTGTATTAAATTGCTTCCCGTAGGAATGTACTACTTACGGAGCACCAGGACTGGCAGCCGTAAGTAGCACATTCCTACGGGGAGCAATTGAATACACCACACCCCCAAGTAGAGAAGGCTGTGCCTCCCCAAACAGCCTGGCCCCCACCCCCATCCGCCTTCTCCCACTTCCTGCCCCCTGACTGCCCCCCTCAGAACTCCTGACGCATCCAACCCACCCTGCTCCTTGTCCGCTGACTGTCCCCTCCTGGGACCCCCATCCTCTAACTGCCCCCCTGGCATCCCACCCCCTATACAACCCCCGCCGCTCCCCCCCCCCGCTCCCTGTCCCCTGACTGCCCCGACCCCTATTCGCACCCACGCCCCAACAGGCCCCCAGGACTCACACACCTATCCAACCGCCGCTGTCCCCTGTCTGCCCCCGGGACCTCCTGTCCCTTATCCAACCCCCCCACCCTCTGCCCCCTTACCATGCCACTCAGAGCGCCAGGACTGGCAGTGTAAGTAGTACACCATAAACAGCACATTCCTATGGGGAGCAATTTAATACATTACACCAGCCCTCCATACACTTTCGGAAACCCGAAGCGGCCCTCAGGCCAAAAAGTTTGCCCATCCCGGTTCTATAGCACCGGTTGGGGAGACCTCAGTAAGAAAAAGGTTGAGAACCCCTGTTCCATTATATACTGTACCTCTTTCAGAAATCTGGAGAACTGGAACTAGGAAGCCCTCTTCATAACTACTGCTTGTGGAGATCGAATGGATGGCAGTATCAGCAGTGTCGAGGGAGGCTTGTGGTGACGTTCTGGCAAGTAGTTGGCCCTCCATAATAATTGCTTGGAATTGCTCTCTATGCTCCACTGGTAGGATCCCAGAGCTCAGACTCCAGCCCTATCATCACAATTTTACAGCCTTTTAGTCTGAGCCCCAGCCAGTTGACACAGGCAAACCACAGATGTTTGACTGCCGTGTAGACATACCTACAATTAACAATGATGAGCAGCCTTGCCTGCAGTCTCAGCAGAAAGGCCACATATTGAATGGGCCATAGAAAATTAAATGCTGGAGGTGGTTTCTTCAGGGCTGAGTTGAGCCACATATTGATGTGAGAGCATTCAGAGGCTTGCACTTTATTGAACCTTTATTGTACCTATCCTGAGGCTAAACTAAGGGATTTGGGTCCTATGGCTGTGAATCAGAACTAAAAACAATTTTAAAGAAAAAAATATCTGTAGTCCAACTTTCAAAGATAGGAGCCCAACTTTAGACTCCTAAGTCCCTGTTTAAGCACCTAACCAGGGGATTTTGAAGAGTGCTGTTAGGATTGTAGGTCACCAAGAGATACTTCAAAATTTCACCTTCAGAGCTTAACTCTGGGCTCCTATTTTTGAAAAATGTGTCTAGTAACTAAGTGGCACTATTTTAACTTCAGAGAGGTTATCACAATACAGTAACTCCTCACTTAACGTCCTCCCACTTAACATTGTTTCAAAGTTACATCGCTGCTCAATTAGGGAACATGCTCGTTTAAATGTGCAATGCTCCCTTATAACGTCGTTTGGCTGCCTGCTCTGTACACTGCATGTAAGATTTTGTGGGTGGAAGAGCAGCAACTTTACAAGGGAGCATTGCACAAGTTCCTCTTCTCCGCCTCCTCCCCCTTCCTCCCAGCGCTTCCCTCACCACCAAACAGCTGTTTGGCGATTCTTAGGACTTTCTGTGAGGGATGGGGAGGAGCAGGGAAGCGCTGCATCTCCACTCCTCCCCCTCCCTCCCAGAAAGTCCTAAGCGCTGCCAAACAGCTTAGGACTTTCTGGAGGCAGGGAAGGAGTGGAGATGCAGCGTGCTCCAGAGAGGAGGTGGAGTGGGGATGGAAAGAGGTGAGCCTGGAATGGAGAGGGGATGGGAAGAGGTGGGTCTGGAGCATCCCCCAGCAAAGCTGGCGCCTGTTCTTCTCCGGGTAAGCTGCTACTGGTGCTGCGAAGGTGCTTCTTAGCGTCCTTGCCTGCAGCGGGCTGTGCCTGTCTGGGGTAAGCCAGGGGCACTTCCCAACCACAGAACAGTACATAATACCTTTTGTCTGCCCCAAAAAAATTTCCTTGGAACCTAACCCCCCACATTTACATTAAATCTTATGGAAAAATTGGGTTTGTTTAACATCGTTTCACTTAAAGTTGCATTTTTCAGGAACGTAACTACAACATTAAGTGAGGAGTTACTGTACATTTTATTTGTCCACACATGAAATAAGAATGCAAAGGTTTCCAGTGCTGTTTTGTAATGTTACTGCCACAGCTACTAATTATTAGCAATCTTAAGGAGTGGGCAATGCTCTCGGAACAGTAATTCAGTAGTCTGTGGCAAAAACATAACCAGCACAGGGAGCACAAGAATATGAAACATTATCTTTTTTTTTAAATCAGTCCTACAGAACCTGCACTGTTTTTTTTTTCGTTACTTCTCAGTATATTGGAGTACTTTAAGTATTTAAAATGAAATAGTATATGCCAGTGTCTCTTCAAATGTTGTTCAAGACTCCAACCTTGTTTTCCTGTCAAAGCATTGTGGAAAGCATTTAGATTGTAAATTTTGTGCATGGATTAATGATTCTCAGGTTTTGGTGCCCACTTCGTTTGGTTGCTTGTCTGTGTAGTGGAGGGAAATCTTTTCTCTAGGTGTAGCTTCTTGAACTAAATCAAGGACACACAGAATTTACTGATTTTTTTTTCCAAACCTGATTCAACCCTCAGACAAGTTTACACAAATGAACAGCCACTCTAGGCCTGTCCCTGGAGGCCAAATTGTTGACCAGTCTCATTTCTGAACCTGGGAGACCAATTCATTGCCCTTTGAGAACATTTCTAAAGTAAATTAATAGTTGACTGACTGCTCAGTGGGTTTCTTAATGAAACACATTTCACAAACATGTCGACTCATGATCTCCACATTTTAAGATGGAAAATGTCATTGTAAAGGAAATGGACCCCTTAATGAAGGGCCTCTAATGAAGAGATTATTGGTGCCACCTTTTGAGAGAAAACCATGAACAGAATGGCTTCTTATTTGTATATGCAAGGAATTTAAGTAACTGTTGAGTGTAATTTGCCCTGTGATGTATATTTATGGTGTAATCACCATAACTTGCTATAAGAACATGAACTGCTTTACAATGCAAGAATTCAATGGGACTTTGCCAAAAGACAGACACATGTGGGCTACTCTTGCCTATCAAGTTAGTGCATGTCTTAAAGGGTATGTCTACACTGCAATTAAAAACCCATGGCTGGCCAGGATCAGATGACTTGGGCTAAGGGGCTGTTTAATTGTGCGAGGTGGGAGTTTCCCAGAGCTCAGGCTGCAGCCTGAGCCCCCACACAGCAACTAAACAGCCCCTTAGCCCAAGCCCCAAAGATCATTAAGTGGTCCACCGAGACCCTCAGCAATTTTCAAGTGGTTCGCAAAAAAAAAAAAAAAAAAAAAAAAGTTAGAGAACCACTGATTTAGTGGAAAGATTTAATGGGACTCTAAAATCCATGCTCGGGATATACACTAAGAAGAGGGGCCAAAATTGGGATGAGTTATTACCATTTTTGTTGTGTTCTTACAGGGAAGTACCCCAAGAATCCACAGGTTTTTCCCCATTTAATCTTTTGTATGGAAGAAAAGGGAGGGGATCAAGGCATACATAGATGACTTAGCGGTGTTCAGTGACTCATGGGATGCTCATAAAAAACACCTGGGAATTGTGCTGTCCACACTCAAGGAAGCTGGTCTAACCGTAAAACCCTCTAAGTGCAAGATAGGAGCAACCAGAGTCCCTTATTTGGGACACTGGGTTGGAGGGGGACAGATATCCTGATCCCCTTAAAGTGGAAGCCATTGTAAATTGGCCTGTGCCCCAAACTAAAAAACAGGTCCAATCATTCATCGGTCTGGCAAACTACTACAGAAGGTTTGTGTGTGGGTTCAGCAACATTGTATCCCCAATCACAA